GCTGAACTGTGTCTCCGTTTATCCCCCTTTCCTTCCCAGATGTAACTCGATCAAACCCCACAGGGACCCCCGCCCGCGCCCCAGAATGCTCCGAGGACCAGTGGGACCTGGGGACGAGGGTGCATAGGCTCAGTCTAAAGGGAGAATGAGCTGAGAGCTCCCTAAAGAGGCTCCGGCCTCCCCCAGACTGGAGGCTGGCGGGAAGCCTGGCGCGGCCCGCGGGACCTGGGGCCAGGGGGAGGGAGGGAGGTAAGGTGGGAGGAGGGGCCGAGTTGCCTTCATTTCTTACTTGACTGGCTTCTTTCTCTGGCCAGGCCTGGAGCCCCTGGGCTTGTTCTGCTTGCATGCAGCTCCTATGCACAGCCTCCTCTCTTCTGTCGCCAGAGTCTGAAGTGACCCCATATGTCTCCCACAACCAGTTCCACTTGCTCAGCCCTGTGGGTGGTCTTGGGAGGAAAGGAGAAGTTTCCATTTAGGGGACTGCAGAAGATGTGGGGGCTTCACAAGAGAGAGCCAGAGCCAGGCTACAGATGAAAAGGCTCTCCTCCACTTTGTGCCCTTTAAACGAATGCTCAGAGAAAACATCTGAAGCAGGAACAGACCCCATACCCCAGTATCCCAGCTCCCTTGCCTCAGGGGCACCCTGGGATCCATCCTGCTCTGGTCAGTGGAAACCACCCCAGCGTCTGCCCTGACCAAGCCAGAGCGCCCACATCTGTGATCTAAGCTTTCTCCCTTCCCAGACTGACACCCTCTGAGTCTGAGCTTCCTGCAGCCTAGTGTTCCACCCCGCCAACACCCACAGCTCGCTCAGCATGTGGCCTCTAGGACAGGCAGCTGGGGCGGCCCAGAGTCCTGCAGTCCTGGGTGTGTGGGGCAGTTTCTGGTGCGAGGCCTTGGCACAAGAGGAGGGTAACTTCCCTCTCTTGGCCTTTGCTCTCTCTGGGTCACTCCAGCCTGGGTCCAGGCCAATCAGAGCAGACCCTGCATGAAAGGACAGAGAGCAAGGACCCTACTCTCCTGGGAATCAAGGCAGGATCTCCAGCCAGTGAGACTCATTTCCCAATTCAACCTCTATACAGTCAAAAGTTCAAACATTGGGACCAGCAGATGGCATAATGGTTACATCACTGGACACCCACATGGTCAACTGTGGTTCGAATCCCAGACCTGGAGGCTTGAAACTCACACCAGGTGTGCATTCATGCCCCAAATCCTGGGAGAATGGAGGAAAAGGGATTGTGGCATGGCTGTCTCCCTGGGGAGGAGGGGGGTGATTTCTCACTTTCTGTCTCTAGGGCAAGTGCACATGCCCAATAGCAAATATCTCTCTTTTAAAAAAATTTTTTCGGGACCAGCAGTTGGTGTAATGGCTTTGTCACTGGATTCCCATGTAGTCGACCACAGTTCAAGTCCAGGACCCAGTGACTTAAACTCATGCTGGGCACATGTGCGTGCATGCCTAAAATCTCGAGAGGAGAATGGAGGAGAAGGGATTGTGGCTTGGCCATCCCCCCTGGAGGGTGATTTCTCACTTTCTGTCTCTGTCTCTCTCTGTCTTTCTGGCAAGTGCACATGCCCTATAGCAAAAACCTCTCCAAAAAAAAAAAATTTTTTTTTTCAATATGCAATCCTTGTTGGCCCATGTGGGCTGCAGCAGCTTTGGTGCCTGGGATCCCAACATCTAGTCACCTACTCTCTGTTCAAATACCCTGATCTAGAAAGTTGCCCCTGAAAGAGGGCCGTACCACCTCACAGAATCCTTGGTGTGAGGCTTTCATAGTCTTACAACATACATACAAGAAGAAGCAAACGAAAGCATTTTAACTTATAAACTGGAAAATGAATGGATGAGGCTTCAAGCACCAGACACAGGAAGTTGACACTGAAGTTGTCACCGTTTCGACACTTGGGTCAAAGGGTACCTGCTCATTTCTAAACATTGACCACGTAGTCAATCATGGGCTGGGACTACGCATGCAGTGACATCAACATCCCTTCACATCCCCCCCCCACACAGCCAGGCATGTGTCTTTACCCTTGCTGGACCATTCTTCCCCCTCACTGACCAGGACACACCCTCACTAAGCATCATAAAGGCCACAAGATACATGTGGCCTGAACCTATCCTACAAGCCAGGTCCAAACTGCTCTTCATGGTGCCTGTACCTAGACATACTTTAGCACATTCCCAAAAGGCCTACGGTTTCCATGATTCCCCTATTGCCACCACCATTGTCCACCTTCCATGACAGCAGCTGGCTTACTGCTTCCCGGTTTCTTCTCTTACAGGCTTAGCTGGCACAGGTGGAGCCCCTGGGGCTGGTCCTCATGCCGAAGCATCCAGACCCTTCGAGTGCTCAGTGGCGATCTGGGCCAGCTGCCTGCTGGGGTTCGAGACTTTGTGGAGCGCAGTGCCCGTCTGTGCCAACCAGAGGGCATCCACATCTGTGATGGGACCGAGGCTGAGAATGCTGCCACACTGACCCTGCTGGAGCAGCAGGGCCTTATCCGAAAGCTCCCCAAGTACGATAACTGGTAAGCGCTGAGCCCAGCAGCCCTTGAGATGGGGCAGCTGCTTGCATGGAGGCAACTCTGGGATCATCAAGACAAAATCACATTTAACCAGACCATCCCAGTGGAACGAACAAGAATGGGAGCTCTGGGGAAGCAGACTCAGGAACTAGACTGGTCTGTATTTTTATATTCAGTGAAGAGTTGATACACCAGTTTAGGGAGCTTTTGGCAGGCATAGAGGCCCCCAGAGGACTGGGGCCTTGGGGAACCACCCCTTGGATGGGACGAAGGCTGGAGGGAGGGACTGAGATGAGATAGGATGGGAAAAAATAAGGCCAACAGAAGACCTAGGGTCAAAGTTGGACTCGAGAAGGTGAGCGTGGGGATAAGCAACACCTGTTGGCCCCCATCTTCCTGATGATCCCTCTCCCCCAGCTGGCTGGCCCGCACAGACCCCAAGGATGTGGCACGAGTAGAGAGCAAGACGGTGATTGTAACTCCTTCTCAGCGGGACACGGTGCCCCTCCCGGCTGGTGGGGCCCGTGGGCAGCTTGGCAACTGGATGTCCCCAGCTGAGTTCCAGCGAGCCGTGGACGAGCGGTTTCCAGGCTGCATGCAGGGTAACCAGGGCAGGGACAGAGAGACAGGGGCACCGACAGCCGAACAGGTTTGGAACCCTTCACCAAGGTGATGCTCTCCCCCACAGGGCGTACCATGTATGTACTTCCATTCAGCATGGGTCCTGTGGGCTCCCCGCTGTCCCGTATTGGGGTGCAGCTCACCGACTCAGCCTATGTGGTGGCAAGCATGCGCATTATGACCCGGCTGGGGACACCAGTGCTTCAAGCCCTGGGAGATGGCGACTTTGTCAAGTGTCTGCACTCTGTGGGCCAGCCCCTGACTGGACAAGGTGAGCACCTGCCCTGCTTAGGGGAGAACACAGAGGGAACCCCAAATCCTACCTAGCTACAGACCCTAAGAACCTGTCTTCTCTGAAAACCTCATCTCTCAGGTCCAGATCAGCGGTCTGGGCTGGGGGTGAGGCTGTGTTACAGAACAGTTTGCACAAGACTGAAAAATCTCAGTCATGCATGTCCAAGCATGGGACCTCCAAGCATGGGAGTTGCTGGGCATGATGAGGTGGGGGCCTCAGCCACCCCTTGGCACTGCCACTGCCTCTGAGTATCTCCTCCCAATCCCTGATCCCTCTAGCCCCTGACACCCCAGTTTCTGATGCCGCTGCCAGTAGCCCCATGACCCCATTGTCCCCAGGGGAGCCGGTGAGCCAGTGGCCATGCAACCCAGAGAAAACCCTGATTGGCCACGTGCCCGACCAGCGGGAGATCGTCTCCTTCGGCAGCGGCTATGGTGGCAACTCCCTGCTGGGCAAGAAGTGCTTTGCCCTGCGCATCGCCTCTCGGCTGGCCCGAGATGAGGGCTGGCTGGCGGAGCACATGCTGGTGAGGGCCTGGTAATGCTTGGGGCAGCTGTGGGGGCAGGGCAGGGGCGGGGCCTAGCCAGTCTGCCTCAGCCTCTCCTGCCTCCTGTCGATGCCAGGCTGGTGGGCAAGGACTCTACCTGAATGCCCGAAGACTTGGCTCCAGGCTGCTGAATGTCGGGGCTTCCCCCTCGCTGCTCCCTAGACCTGGTTTAGTGAATAAACAGTGATCCCTGTGAACTCCTAGCTTCCTTCCCCTTGCAGACCATGTCTTCGGTGACTTTGTTTCCTCTCCGCCATGCACAGATCCTGGGTATCACCAACCCTGCAGGGAAGAAGCGCTACGTGGCAGCCGCCTTCCCCAGTGCCTGTGGCAAGACGAACTTGGCCATGATGCGGCCCACACTGCCCGGCTGGAAAGTGGAGTGTGTGGGAGATGACATCGCCTGGATGAGGTTTGACAGCGAAGGTGAGCAGCCCTTGGACCGTGCTCTTGCCAGAGCCAAGAAGTCTCTTCTCCACCGTTCAGGGTGAGCTCTCAGTGAGAGCCTTATTTCCTGAACAGTAGGCTCCATCCCTACCTGCAGCAGCCCAACCACCCCAGAGATGAAAGCCTCTCCCTGTCAGATCTAGGCTCCAGCTCAGGGCACACAGGGATAAAACAGGACCTTTGTCAGCCAGACATCTCAACTTTCCCTGGTTTTTGCTTTCACTTCTGACAGGCCGACTCCGGGCCATCAACCCTGAGAATGGCTTCTTTGGGGTGGCCCCAGGCACCTCTGCTACCACCAATCCCAATGCCATGGCCACAGTCCAGAGCAACACTCTTTTCACCAACGTGGCAGAGACCAGCGATGGTGGTGTGTACTGGGAGGGCATTGACCAGCCTCTTCCACCTGGTGTCACCGTGACCTCCTGGCTGGGCAAACCCTGGAAACCTGGTATGTGGGGTGGGGAAGTTGTGGCACAGCTCCCAGGGCTCAGCCCACCCGTAATGCTGGAAAAGCCTGCTCTGACAGCCCTAGCCCTCTGTGGGACCTTGGAGAGGCACAGAAATTATGTTTGTTTGCAGTTTCCAATCCCATGCAGTTCATGTCCCAGCTTTGACAGTCACTGGTTTTGTGATTTGGCTAAGCTGCTTAGCCTCCCTAAGTTTGTTTCTATCAGCTGAATGAGGGTAGTTATTATACTGTCTCATAAGAGCATTGGAGGATTAAGTCAAATAAAATATAAAGGGTCGGCAGGTGGCGTGATGGTTAGGGGTGCTAGACTCCTACATGGCTGACCATGGTTCAAGCCCAGACCTAGTGGCTTGCTTTCTCCTTTTCTCATCTTTCTCTCTCTCACTCTGTCCTTCTCTGGTCAAATAGAAAGGAAGGAAGGAAGGAAGGAAGGAAGGAAGGAAGGAAGGAAGGAAGAGGGAGGGAGGGAGGAAGAGAGAGTGTTAAATAAAATAATTATTTAAAAAGTTAAATAAAATGTATAAAAAAGGTTTAGGACACTGCCAAGTACATAATAAATTGTCAACAACAAATATAAGCTGGATTGGGGGAAAAAAAGGGAAAAGATTTTTAAAAATATTTTGCCAGGGAGCCAGCAGATGGCATGGTGTTTAAGGTGCTGGACACCCACAAGGCCAACTGCAGTCTGAGTCCCAGACCTGGTGGCTCGCTTTCTCACTTTCCCTCTCTCTCTCTCTTTCTCGTGAGCTCATGTTCCCTATAACAAATTAAGATAATAATAATAGTAATAATAATAATAAATAATAAAGAAAAATTTTGCCAGAGGACTCGTATACTTGCTGGAAAGAGACTTAGAGGGAAAGTGCCCTCCAATGGGGGATAGTCACACCACAATCCCTTCTCATCCATCTCCCCTCTTAGGATTTTGGGCACACACACACACTTCTGGTGTGTTTCTCAAGCCAGAACATGAACTGTGCAGTTGGCCACATGGGATCCAGCTGCCTTAACCACCATGACATGGGTTGTTGGCCTAGAAAGGATCATTTTTTAAATTGTTATGGTGGTGAGGGGGGGACCAGCAGACGGCATAATGGCTACATCCCTGGACTCCCATGTAGTCAACCACGGTTCGAGTCTCTGACCCGGTGGCTTAAACTCACACCAGGTGCATGTGCATGCGTGCCCAAGATCCTCAGAGGAGAATGGAGGAGAAAGGACTGTGATGTGGCCATCTCCCCTAGAGGGTGATTTCTCACTTTCTGTCCGTCTTTCTGGCAAGTGCACATGCCCTATAGCATAAACCTCTCTCTCAAAAAAAAAAAAATTGTTACAAGGGGTCTAGCAGGTGGCGAGGTGGTTAAGGCGCTGGACTCCCACCTGGTTAACTCTGGTTCAAGTCCCAGATCTGGTGGCTTGAAACTTATGCTGGTTGTTTGTGCATATCCAAATTCCCAAGAGAATAGAGGAGAGGAGATTGTGGTGTGGCCATCCCCCCGGGGGTGATTTATCACCTTCCCTTTCTCTGTCTCTGTCAGTCTATCTTTCCAGAGAGCACATACGCCTTATGGCAAAAACCTTAAAAAAAAAAGAAATTGTTACAGAAGGGAACCAGCCCATGGCCTGATGATTAAGCTGACCAGATCCCACATGGTCAACTGCAGGGTTCGAGCCCTGGACTAGTGACTTGAGAGACACTCTGGGTGTGTGTGCATATGTACAAGCAAAATCACAAAAGGAGAGAGAGATGGAGAAGGGATTGCAGAGTGATAATTCCTCATGGGGGGTACTTTGGTTCTTCCCCCCCCCACCCCACTCTGGCAAGTGCACATGCCCTCTGGCAAATTGAAAAAAAAATGTTGGGACCAGCAGATGGCATAGCACTCGTGTTGCTGGACTCCCACACGGCCAACCACGGTTTGAGTCCCAGACCCAGTGGCTTCAGACTTACTCTGGGTGTATGTGCGTGCATGCCCAAGATCCCAGGAGGAGAAAGGAGAAAGGACTGCGGTGTAGCCACTCCCCATCCCCCCGGGGGTGATTTCTCACTTCCCCTCTTACTGTGTCTCTCTCTCTCTCCCCAGATACACACCCTCAGGCAAAACCCTCTCAAAAAAAATTGTTACAGAAGGAACTGGACTCAAGCACAATCCATAAAATTTGACCCAGCAGGAAGGAAGGAAACCTGCCTCCCCCTCTAGTCCAACTCTCCTCCTGCCACTTGGCTCCCACTGGCCCCCGTATGATAACTATTGACTAAAGATCACTATTGTTGTCCTCACCCTTTCCTTAGCCTTGCAGCATTTATATCCAATCCTTCTATAAACTAAATCAGAGCTGCGCTTTAGACTCTTCCCAGAAAAGCTCATTTCTCAACACTGTCATTACCCTGGGTGCCTCAGGGCCCCACTCCTCCCCCAACCTGCACTCTGGACCTTCAGCTTTCCACAGCCTCCTGCCATCAGAGCCCAGACACGGAGGGGTGGGAACAAAGGACAGCATGACAGGGGAGGGTGGCCTTGTGGTTGCTGTAGCCTATATTCAACTTTAACAGCCTCCCCGCCTAATCACCCTTCATCTTCTCTAACACCATCATTAAGCCCCCCTCCGTCTTCCCACCCAACTGAGAAATCCAAGAAACTTTAAACCTTCCCCACAGGCTAGTTCCCCAACCCTTCCATCATCTCAGAATGTAGGGGTATAACGAGGGCATCTCGTGCCCAGCTTTAATCCCCACAATACCCTGTGTTAGGGTCCTACATTGGGGGCTGATGAAGAGTGGTTGTCTGAGAGAGAAAGCAAGAGCTGGGGTTAAGAGAGGGTGGGGATGTTGACTCTGTGGCTCCCTTACCCCCAAATCTGACCATCAACCTCCATCAGGGCGGGCACTGTGCCCATTCAGGACCCCATAGTGGGCTTCACGCATGTGCTACTGAGTAGTCCCAGTCCCTCCTGGAACACCTAAAGTTGCCAGGTTGACCTGGGCTCCTCAAGCCCTACCACTCCATCAGGTTCTAAGCAGGCCCAGGGGAATCACCATAATTCTGTCAGCTTTGAAATCAATTCCAGGGACCAGCAGGTAGTATGGTGGCTGAGGCGCTGAACACTCCCACATGGCCAACCGTGGTTCAAGTCCTGGACCTGGTGGCTTGCTTTTTTCACTTTCCCTCTTTCTCTTTCTTTCTCTCTCTCTCTCTCTCTCTCTCTCTCTCTCCGTGTGTGTGTATGTGTGTGTGTGTGTGTGTGTCTCTGGTCAAATTAAAATAAAATGAATACATAAATAAAGTTAAATAAATAATTACTTAATAAATAAGTAAATAAATTCCTTTTTGCTTTAGATAGCTCAGGAGATTGTCTTCCCCCACTTACTAAAGGAAGGGCAATTGTCTGAAAAACTAACCTGACATTCTCAGTTTTTTGCATTATATTTGGGTGTTGATATAAATAATAATCTCCTAAATAAATAGTTTCTGGGAGATGGGCTGACCTTATAGCCTAGTGGTTAAGAGAGTTGTAGCGGGGACCAGCAGTTGGCATAATGGCTATGTCACTGGACTCCCATGTAGTCGACCACAGTTCAAGTCCCGGACCTGGTGGCTTAAACTCATGCCAGGCATGTGTGCATGCACGCATGAGAGGAGAATGGAGGAAAAGGGATTGTGGTGTGGCCATCCCCCTGAGGGGTGATTTCTCGCTTTCTGTCTCTCTGGCTCTCTCTTTCTGGCAAGTATACACGCCCTATAGCAAAAACCTCTCAAAAAAAAAAAAAAAAAAAAAGAGGAAGGGGGGACCAGCAGGTTGGGGAAATGCTGCAGTTAGTGTAATGGCTATGTCGCTGGACTCCCACGTAGTCGACCACGGTTCGAGTCCTGGACCCGGTGGCTTAAACTCACACCAGGCGCGTGTGTGTGCGTGCCCAAGATCCCGAGAGGAGAATGGAGGAGAAGGGATTGAGGCATGGCCATCCCCCCTGGAGGGTGATTTCCTGCTTTCTGTCTCTCTGTCTCTCTCTTGTCTGTCTGGCGAGCGCACGTGCCCTATAGCAAAAAAAAAAAATAAAGAGAGAGAGAGAGAGTTGTAGCCCAGACAGCTGAGCACCCAGTTCAAATCCTGGCCCACACCTTGAAAATCATGCTAGGTGCAGGTGCATATGTGCTCAAAATCCCAACAGGATGGACAAACAGGAAAGAAGGAATTGTACAACCATGCCCCATTAGGAGGTACTTTACCCTCTCTCTTTCTGCCTCGCTGGTGGGCACATGTTCCCTCTGGCAATTAAAAACAATAGTTTCTGGAGGGAAATAATTATAATCTTATGCCATTCTCTTGAACCCTGGTCAGTGCCAAGTGCCTGTAGTTTAGCATAAACATTAGCTTCCTACTGAACCCTAATTCCTCTTCCACTCCTTTCTCATACTGCTCAGCTGGCGACACCATTATGAATAACCTGATCTTTTGGGGGAGGTGTCCTGGCTTCCTTCTCCCTGCTCTTTTATCACTCAAGGTTGTAGACAGCTGGTAAGGCAAAAAAGAAATTGGACAAGTGTATGTGCACCTGTGCATGTCTGGGGTGGACGTGATCTTGGAAGTGACTGTATTTCCTCTGCCAGGTGACAAGGAGCCCTGTGCACATCCCAACTCTCGCTTTTGTGCCCCGGCTCGCCAGTGCCCTATCATGGACCCAGCCTGGGAGGCTCCAGAGGGTGTCCCAATTGAGGCTATCATCTTCGGAGGCCGCAGACCCAAAGGTAGACAACATATGGGCCCCATGCATTCCTGGTAAAAGGTCTAATTATCCATCAGGGTCCACCTCCCTTGTAGTTACAGTTCAGGGAGCCTCAGCCTGGATCCCAGGCTATAGCTGTCAGTCTCCAGAGTTCTCCCCTGGTGAAAGCAAAATTAGAGGGAGGCCTGGGAGCTGAGAATGGGATAGCTAAGGGCCTAGGAGAAAGAGACAAGGAGTCAAGATCACCAGAAGAGATGCAGTATGGATCAAAGAAAAGGGCTGCCTTGACCCTATTCATTGGTGTTCTAGGGGTACCCCTGGTGTATGAGGCCTTCAACTGGCGTCACGGGGTGTTTGTGGGCAGCGCCATGCGCTCCGAGTCCACTGCTGCAGCTGAACACAAAGGTGCGCGCTCTCACCGTTGTTTCCTCTCCTGTGTATGCATATCACCTCCTCTCACCCTTCCTGAGCCAGACCTTCCTCCTGCCCACCCTTGGAGTCTTCAGTAGCCCTACCCCCTCTTCTCGCTTTTCTTCCACCCCTTCTCTTCACCTTCCCTGAGCATACTGCAGAACCATGATCCATTTACAAGTACCACTAGCTTGGATACGGGTGCCCTTCTCTTCCCCCGTGTGGAGGGAGATTCCTTACCCATCCTGCTCTCCTCCACAGGGAAGGTCATCATGCATGACCCATTTGCCATGCGGCCCTTTTTTGGCTACAACTTTGGGCGCTACTTGGAACACTGGCTGAGCATGGAGGAACGCAAGGGGGCCCGGCTGCCCCGCATTTTCCATGTCAACTGGTTCCGGCGAGACGAGGCAGGCCGCTTCCTGTGGCCAGGCTTTGGGGAGAATGCTCGGGTGCTAGACTGGATCTGCCGGCGGTTAGAAGGGGAGGACAGTGCCCGAGAGACACCCATCGGGCTAGTGCCAAAGGAAGGAGCCTTGGATCTCAGTGGTCTTGGAGCCATTGACACCACTCAGCTATTCTCGCTCCCCAAGGACTTCTGGGAACAGGAGGTTCGTGACATTCGCAGCTACCTGACAGAGCAGGTCAACCAGGATCTGCCCAAGGAGGTGCTGGCTGAGCTGGAAGCCCTGGAGGGACGTGTGCACAGAATGTGACCCAAGGCCCCAGACAAGCAAGAGTGCATAGCACCCCACCTGAGAATAGAGGAGACACCAGGCTTGCAGCTAACAGGAGCCATCTGATATCAGCTAACGTTTTCTGGGTGCCATGAGACCAGGCCACAGACCTTCCCCCACACACTGTCCAATAATAAGAGATGCTTGTTTATTTTACACAACATTTGTGCTGTCTTCATTTCCCACCTCTCTCCACAGGCTTCCCCTCAACTCTGATCTTGAAATCTTCTTCTAGCCCCTCCAACCAGCTGGGACCCCCGCACAGCCTGCTGCGGCCTGGGGAAAGCATGGATCTATTCTCTAGGCAGCTTTACCGCTGGGTCACATAAGGAGTAAGTGCTGGGAGGAGATGCTACCCACTCTGTTCCTGGGGTCTTAAAACGGTGGAGGCCTCAAGCTGCTCAGAACAATAGCCTCCAGGCCTAAAATTCCAGACCTCTTACTCAGACAGGCAGAAAAGGTTCCATTTATATTTTTATATATTTTTGAAGTTGACCAGAAAGAGACAGAGAAAAGGAAGGTGAGAAAGCAAGCTGCCAGGTCTGGGGCCTGAACCACGGTCAGCCATGTGGGAGTCCAGCTGCCTTAACCACCACACCACCTGCTGGCCCCAGCATACTCAGTATTAAGACAGCTAAAACTTCTACGGCACCTTCTGTGCAGTGAGCACTATTTGCCAGGTATGCAACAAAACAATTCTTTATGCTTTTTCCTTTCTAAAGAGTTATTTCATTTTTATTTATTTATTTACTTATTTTAATATGACCAGTGAGGGACAGAGTGAAAGCAAAAGAGAGAGAGAGAAAGTGAGAAAGCAAGCCACCAGATCTGGGACTCAAACCACAGTAGAGAGAGATCAGCGCCCTTAACTATCACGCCACCTGCTGGCCCCACAAAACAACTTTGTAATTAGAGGTACCATTTTGTTAATTAGAGGAACCATTTTGTTAATTGGAGGTACCATTTTGTTAATTAGAGGTACCATTTTACAAAAGAAGAAACAAAGGCACAGAGGGGTCAAGTGATTTGTCCAAGGCCACACAGAGAACAGTAAGAGACAAGGGTAGGGAACCAGCGGTTAGTGTAATGGCTAAGTTGCTGGACTTCCATGTAGTTGACTGTGGTTCGCGTCCCGGACCCGGTGGCTTGAAACACGCCGGGCACGTGTGCATGTGTGCCCAAGATCCCGAGAGGAGAATGGAGGAGAAGGGATTGCGGCGTGACCATCCCCTCTGGGGAGTGATTTCTCGCTTTCTGTCTCTATGTCTCTCTCTGTCTGTCTGGCGAGTGCACACGCCCTATAGCGAAAACCTCTCCCAAAGAAAAGAGACAAGGGTAAATAATAACTGCTTAAACATGTCTCTCATAGCAGCATAGACTTCCAGAACTAGATGGACCTTAGAAGTCACACATACTGGGGCCAGCAGGTGGTGTGTTAGTTAAGGACACTGGACTTCCACATGGCTGACCACGGTTTGAGTCACTTTCTTTCTTTTCCTCTGACCCTCTCTGATCAAATTAAAAATAAATGAATGAATGAAGTCACATATTCCATGCTTTCCAAACTTCAAACTGCATATGCAGGCCAGCCCTGAGGCCTAGTGAACAAAGGAGCCAGATTGCATATGGCAGTCTGTGTGGTTTGAATTCCAGACCCAGCAGCGTGAAAAATACTTCAGGCCCACGTGTGTGCATGCCCACAATCCTGAAAGGTATGAGAAATGGAGGGAAAGGGACTGTGGTGTGACCATCCTCGATGGGGGTGCTTGCTCGCTTGCTCTCTCTCTCTCTCTCTCTCTGGTGAGCATATGTACCTTCAGACAATTTTTTAAATAATTATTTTATCTAATTTTATTTATTTATTTGAGAGGTTTTTGCTATAGGGCACATGTGCTCGCAAGAAAGAGAAAAGTGAGAAATCACACCCCCGGGGGGATGGCCATACCGCAATCCCTTCTCCATTCTTTTCTCGGGATCTTGGGCACGCATACACACACACCTGGTGTGAGTTTAAGCCACCCGGTCTGGGACTCGAACCATAGTCAACTGCATGGGAGTCCAGTGACATAGCCATTACGCCAACTGTTGGTCCCTTATTTATTTATTTTTAATTTGACCAGAGAGGGACAGAGTAATAGAGACAGAGAAAGTGAGAAAGCAAGGTTCACCAGGTCTGGGACTCAAACCGCGGTCAGCCATATGGGAGTCCAGTACCCTTAATCACCATGCTACCTGCTGGCACCATCCTCAGGCAAGTTTTTTTTTTAAAGAAAAAAAAAAGTGGATATGCATCACCTGGGAATCTTTGTAACATGCAGATGAATCTCAGCATGTCTGGGGTAATCCAGACAGTCAATCTTCCAAGCTCCTAGGTAACGCTCATCCTGGTGGTATGGGGACCACAGTTTTTGAGTAGTGAGGCCTCCACCTAAATTCCTCTGCAATCAGCTTTGAAGAAAAACTAGAAAGAGAGCAATGAGTCAGGCACATCAATAAACTGCACTTGGGGGGCCAGCTAGTGGCGTGGTGCCGTGGCATGGTGCCATGGCTGGATCCCACATGGCTGACTATACGGTTTGAGTCCCAGTACCAGCAGCTTGATAAACATGCTGGATGGGGGTATTGTAGTGGCTAAGGTGCTGGACTCCCATATGGCTGACCATGGTTCAGGGCCCAGATCTGGCAGCTTGAAATTCATGCTGGGTGTGTGTGCGTGAGTGCCCAAAATCCTGAAAGTATACAGGAGAAGGGACTGCAGCGTGGTCACCCCTTGGGGTGAGGAGTAATATCTCACTTTCTGTCTATCTGTCTAGTGTGCCCTACAGCAAAAATCTCTCAGAAAAAAAGAAAAAAGAAAGAAAGAAACATGCTGGTACAAGTGTGTCCGTGCATGGCCAAAATCCTGAGAGGAGAACACCACCCTACCCCAGGGAGTTACTATCTAACTTTCTTTCTTTCTCTCTTTTCTGTCTCTCTATCCAGCAAATGTACATGCCCTAAAGCAAATTTTTAAAAAAAATAATGATACAATAACTTGCAATTTGGATCAGGCTAAATGAATTTTTTTTGGAGAGGTTTTTGCTATAGGGCGCGTGCTCTCGCCAGACAGACAGACAGACAGAGACATAGAGACAGAAAGCGAGAAATCACCCCCCAGGGGGAATGGTCACGCCGCAATCCCTTCTCCTCCATTCTCCTCTCGGGATCTTGGGCACGCACGCACACGGGCCCGGCGTTGAGTTTTAAGCCACCGGGTCCGGGACGCGAACCGCGGTCGACTACGTGGGAGTCCAGTGACATAGCCATTACACTAACTGCTGGTTCCCGGGCTAAATGAATTTATAAACAAATGGATACATCAGGAGTCTGTACCCAGAAAACAAGAACTAACTTTGGGCCCCTGGCCCCGTGGCTTCATGGTTAAAGGAGCCAGATCCCACATAGCCAATTGCATAGTTCAAATCCCAGGCCCAGTAGCTTGAAAAACAAGGAAATCCCAAAAGGATGGAGAAGGGATTATGATATGGCCATCCCCGACTAGGGGGTGGGGTACTGGCTGGTGAGCACATACAACCTTTGGCAAAATAAATAAATCAATCTCTAGATGTCCCTCATAAAGGAAATAAGTAAGATTTGGAAATAAATCCCTTCAGGAAAGGGGCAGAGAACTGGGGTTCCAGGCACCTTTCTGGTATCTAAATGCACAGTGACAGAAAGGTGATAGTGTTAAAGATTATTTTGGGGAGGGCCCGACAGGTGGTGTGGCTAGAGGTGCTGGATTCCCTCTTGGCCAACCATGGTTTAAGTCCCAAACCTGGTAGCTTGCTTTCTCACTTTCTCTCACATGCACTCTCTTACTCTGTCCCTCTCTGGTTAAATAAAATAAAATAAATAAATAAATAAAACTAAATAAAATAACTTAAAAAAAAAAGAAAAAAATTATTTTGGGGGGCCAGCAGATAGTGTGGTGGTTAAGGCACATTTCAAGTCCTGGAACTGGCAACTTGCTTTCTCACATTCTCTCCCACTCCTGGTGAGCACACTATATTATGTTCAATAATAATAATAATCAATAAAATCAAGCAATTCTTTAAAAAATTATTTTTTGTTAATTAGAATAAAATTGTGCTACATGTCCCTTAACTCCAGATAAATGAAAAAATACAGTTAACACATGCAATTAACTTTTTTTTTTCCTTAGTTTTTACTATAGAGTACATGTACTCCATGAAAAGAGAAAGAGAAAGCACCCTTCATGAGGATGGCCATGCCATAATCCTTTCTCCATTCGTCTCTCAGGATTTTGGTACATACACCAGGTGTGTTTTTCAAGCCTCTGGGTCCAGGACTTGAACTGTGCAGCCGGTTGTGTGGGATCCAGCTGCTTCAACTATCAGGCCATTGGGTGATGCTGTAATTAATCTTTTCACTTTAAAATAAAACACAGATAACCATATGAAACAATAGTATAGTCTAATAAACTATTAGGTTGCCTGAAGAATCATAGTGCATTTCTGCATAGAAAAATACGTCATGACTTATCTAATGACTCAATATTATAAAGTGAACATCCTTGAAACCACCAGCCAGAGAAAGAAACAGCACATTGCCAGACCCAGACCTGGCGACTTGCTTTCTCACTTTCCCTCTCTCCCCCTCTCTCTCTCTCTCTCTCTCTCACCCTATTCCTCTCTGAACAAATTAAAAATAAATAAAGTTAAATAAAATCTAATTTTAAGGAATCACTTTGTGGATTTTGTGTGTGTGTGTGTGTAATTTTATCATCAAAATAGGGATCCCAACACTCTAATATTATAGCTTTGCCCCTTTTTAAAATTTTCATATCTTTTAGGTCTTTATATCTACATATTCCCCTCTCCATTCTTTCCTTTTTTCAACTTAGCCAGTGAAGAGTCCAGACCTATATGATCAATGCTTAAATTCATTAATTCACTAAGGATTATAAAATAGCTACACTCTGGTTCTGTCATAATAACTGGAATACTTTTGGGTCAGCCTATGGCGTGGTAGTTAAGGCAGCAGGAACCCACATAGCCAACCACATGGTTAGTCTTTGAGCCGGCAGCCTGAAAAACATACCAGTGCATGTGAGTGCATGTTCAAAATCCTGAGAGGAGGGAAAATGGAGGAGAAGGGATTG